AAAAGAATTGAATTGAATTGAATTATTATCATGATAATTTTTCATTGAACAAATAAAGAGGTTGGTGCCAGTGGGGACGTAATGGGATAGATAAGAGGTGATACAGAATTTTTCTCGGAACACGTGAAAAACTTGGGAATCCATATGTAGATGGGAAGATGATATTGAATTGGATATTTGAGTAAAATGGAATGGATTATTCTGACGCACGATAGAAGTAATTGGCTGGTTCGTGTGAAAACAGTAGCGAACCTTATAGACGGGGAATTGCTACTTGATAAGTCGAGTCCCAAAAGAAAATTAGCATCGTGGAATTAGACTAGGTTTCGTTAGTGTTACGCTCTAGGCGAGCGTAAGCCTCAAGTAGTTGGCTAACGATACATTTTTATTTTGACCGATTCTGCTGTGTTCCAGTAGCACTGACACAGAAGACTTAATTTTTCGTTTTTCAAAGTGTTAGTCGGACTAACAGGCTAACATGGTTAATATGAATGCTTCGCCCAAAGTTGTAACCATTTTCATTTTTCTCTTAGTGCTTAGGACATCGGCTCATTCCATTGCAGTGTTAAAGGTCCGACGTCGTAGTCCGGCATATGCTACATGTCCGTCCCACTTGTATTCATATTCGGGAGGTCCTGGGTTCAAATCTCGCCCAGGACACAGGTTGAGAGACGGAGGGTTTTTTGTGGGTTTTTTAAGTTTTTGCAGGCAAATTCCCGGATACTATCTGGCATGTGACCACATACGTATCCATTTACATGTTTTTCATTTCATTATTTATCATGTAACTCGGCGTTATACAGTATAATAAATTTCTGACAGCGTCTTTAAACAACAACAACAGTACGTGGAAAAGAAAAGAAGTATAATTCTGAAACACCCTGTATATTCGAACAGGCACTTATGGAGTTGAACTGAGGCGAGAGTGTTTTGTAATTGAATTTATTCGCTTGTTTTAATCTCCGATACATAGATTTTTAATTAACTTAATTGTCAACAGGGGAAAGTTAAACAGAATATTTTTCATACGCGGCGCTGTACATTGTTAGCATTAGTAACACTCCACTGCAAAGCTGATGGCAACAGTGAACATTTATTATGAACGTTTTGTAATTGATATCAAGATGCGACCATGGCATGTTCAGCATCCCAGAATTTATTGATTAAATATGCCTGGCATTTTAAATGTTTTTTTAGCATCGTTTTTTTTTCCCAAAAGGGTAGAGTTCGTGATTGACCGGAACAGTAACAGATTTCAATAGGCGTTCTTGCCAGCGTTAATTGAAATCACGAGTTTTTCTTCTGTCCGAGACATAAAACAAACATAGCGGAACCATTCATTTATTTTAAACGAAACAAGTAATTTTTGAGACAGAAAAAAATTAAAGAATACAAGACATTAGATATATTTACTAAAACGTTTTTGCCCAATTACCGTTGGCTCGTGATGTAAAGGTTTATATGCGATATGCATATTTGCGTTTATAAACAACATAAATATAAGACTATAGTTATGACCTTTTCCGGAATGTATTTTTGACAAAAAAAAAGTTTGTCATAAGTTTACGGTCGAGCTGATCTTGAGATGTAATCACTAAGACTGTGTTTCTGATCTGCAAAAATTATATTATGGTCAGGTGTAAGAATTGTTTACTTAATGACGATAACATTAGCTCAGACTAATTATTCACTAAAGGTCTGTGACTGGTATATTTATTATAGGAACACTGTGTTTGACTCTTTATGGTGTCTGAGGCATATTTGATATTTACGCATTTAGGGAGTTGATTCTACTCCCGAAACGTCGTACATATCAAATGTACCTCAGACAGTTCTTATAAATCTTAGACTATTCTCGCTTCGAATAACAAGATGATTAATGATTTGGAAAGAATATGGAAGGCAGCAGTCGTGGCCGATTTTAGTTTACGGTACTATCCCGTTATTTGCCTGGAGGGACTGAGGGAAACAGGAAAATGCAGGATTTCTAAGTAGCCAGTCGCGGTTTCGAATTATGACCAGTCCTTTCAGCGGAGTAAGAAATTTCATCACCGTATTCACAAAATTACGCCACTCTACCCTGAGGGTGTTCAGATTTATATTATATTTTTAAGATGTTTTAATATTATACTGCCATATGTGTCGATGCATCACAAATGATCTCTTGTCATGTTGTCTTAGGGCCAAAATTTGAGTTTTTTTCTTTTGCGTGCTACATGTCTATCTAATGGTATCCTTCTTGATGTAATCACCTTTACAGCAGCAAGGACCTCAAAAACGCTGGTAAACTACGATCAGTCTACACGGCGCTACATTAATCTTCATGGTTACATTTTAATCCTTAGGTTTTCAATACAGAATTGAATAATATTTTCGCAACCCATTTATGTATTGTGAATCTACGTCTGGATCTCCAAGTTTATCTCCTCCTTTGGGAGTCTGTAACCAAACGCACGCTGGCTTTGTATTTATGATGTCTTCCATTGTACTGCATGTTACACCCATTGTGTCTCGGTCTAGCAGTGACGTGTTGTTTTACAGACGGCTTTTCTGGAAGTGGTAATACCTCCAGATATTATTTACGAAGAAACCTCTGGAGACCTGATGGTTCCCGAAGGAGGGTCCGCGAAATTGGTGTGTAAGGCTCGGGGATTTCCAAAGCCACGGGTGATCTGGAGAAGGGAAGATGGCGGCGAAATCATTCTCCGCGGAGGACCCTCTACGAAAACACGAGGTCAGTACGTTTCTGCGCCTATATGTCTGTACTTTAACAAATATACAGAGTTGCCATAGATTACATATAGTATTTAAAATATTTTATTGATTGTACTCGCCGAGAAAGTTTCAAATCCTATATTTTTTAAGAAACTCATTAGTGATAATTGAAGTAATTACAGATAATTGCTGTCTTCTTGAATGTTTTGCCGTGTAGTTTGTAAGAATTTTACCGACGTTTTAGATGATGAAGTTAGAAAATATTTCTGAAACGTCGATAAACGTCTAACAGACTACACATCGCAACAATTCAGAAGCCAGCCGTCTTCGTATTTGATTACGTGAGGACTTGAAATATCACATAATTGTCATAGCTTACACTCAGTGGTTTTGTTCAACATTCTGAAGACAATTTCATTATTTGTAGTTCAGTCGGTGGAGGGCGAAGTGTTATCCCTAACCAAGGTGACGCGGTCAGAGATGGGTGCCTACCTGTGTATCGCGGCCAATGGCGTTCCTCCTTCTGTTAGCAAACGCATGATGGTTCATGTCCATTGTAAGTGTTGATTTTATTTATCGAATCTATTTATTTCGTCATAAATGGTTCTATTAGTAAAACTCACTGTACATTTATATGTTTGTTTCTGTGACTTTTCGTCTTCAGATATTTTTTTACTATCTCCATACAGTATAGTCTTTCTAGAGAAGCTGATGGTGGTTGAACTAATGAAAAATTATTCACTTTTCGTAAGACCGAAAAGTTCATTACCGTGTTAACAAAAAACCCGCTTCCAGTTTCTATACCGTGCTAAATGAATCAAGTATACATCCTTCAATCCTGTTTTTATGACATAATTTTTAATATTATCCTAATATTATTCCAAGTGGTCCTGCTTCCAGGTTTTTCGACCATAATTTTTTTATGTATTTCGTATCTGTTCCATGCTACATGTTCTTCGTCTTAGAGCAGAGGATAGGTATCAGGTTGAGTTATTAATAATATATAATAAAATTCATAGGACGAGCATATGATGACGTTTACTTTACTTATTTAACTTCTTGTAAAGCGTGACGTAATAAGAAGTAGCGAAGTTGAATGTCAGCTGACGTGCTTATAGCTCTAAAACGTAGCGTATAGAAGGAAATTAAATTAGCAGGTCTGACGTGAGATAGGTTTAATGTAAGTTTCTATCGCAGCAAAATGTTTGGTACTGTTCCGAATTTGAACTGCGACGAACTCAATAAACTACGACGGTGGTGGTCTGTTGGGTTATAACCCTTGTTGATGGGGGCTGTATGTACCTTATATCTCTCCATCAATAAATAGTGGCACAAAGAAGATCTTTATCAACATATTTCTACCGTAAGAACTTCAGATATCGTAAATTTATTAACTGTACGTATGTAACTATCCGTAAAATATTAATTATGGTTTTTAATATTACAAATATGTTCTGAATTTGTTAACAAAGAAAGTGATTACTATATATCGAACTTTCGAAGAGAAATAGTGTTAATGTTGGGTAGAAACTTCAAGCAAAAACTATTAAATCTAGTTTGAGGGACGTCGTGAAAGGAGCTATTACTTGCGCGTCAGGAAACAGTGTATCTTGGCTTACGTCTGCTGCTTCTTACGAGGACGGAACTTCGGAAAAGTTTACACCGAACTAGCAACGTATGCATGAGAAAATACAAATAGCACATTATTTTGCTGTGTGCAGTAGTGTTTTATATACTTTCTGGCAAAGCAGCTTATGGAAACTTCCAATGTTCTTAAGCTTGTAGAATCAGTAATGCTTTAAGAACGACAAAACATTGTTGCTGTTGGTCCGTTGCTAGTGATGTAGATAAAAACTCATAGTGTGAAGGAATTTCATTGTACCGGAAGTAAACTCTTAAGTGGAGCAAATTAAAATAGACCGCTTCTTACGTAGCTGTAAACCAGAGTTAATCTCGTTTTGATTTTTAAAATATTTACAAAGTTGTATGCTGTTCCTTGTTTTATTATTTCTGGGTGCAGTCGCAAGCAGAAGTTTAGAAAATGCTTCTATTAGCTTTACCACCATCTCTGTCCGTCTGTCTGTCCGTATGTCACAACTCGAGAACCGCTACATGGATTTTTACGAAATTTTGTAACGGGGAGTTTTAATAAACTTTATCGGCGCGTTCAGATTTTTGTTAAAATAGGACGTTTCTGCATGTTAGATATGGAAACCTAGTCAGTCGGACAGCGTCATGGATAAACCTTACGTATAGATCACTGAGAGACAAATGAGTTTACGAGCAACATATTTGTTTTCCTTTGCTCATAAAATTATATACGATATGAAGATGCATGTGTTCTATGATGCTACACCGTGTAGTCTGGTAGAAGTTTACCGACGTTTCAGAGGTTCTTAGTTCCTGTGTCATCATGGCGATAAACGTCGGTCAGTTTGAGACTGCACAGCTAATTTTCCCAGAAGGACGCCATACTCAAACTCGTCGCTGTGAGAACGTCTTGGTGGTGAAAATATCCATGGAAATGTTCAGAGTTTTCATATTGTGTGGACTTTTCTGTGGGGAAAGAGCATTTTTCGGAAGAAAATACTAAGTCCATATTCAGGGCTGTGTGTTCCTCCAAAACATTGATGTTTCCCTTAGGAATAAGGGAGAGAATTTTTAATTTTTGAGGGATCTTGCTTGATTAGTGTATAAATATACTGGGCACGCAAAATTCCTTACCTCTCCATGTTTACTCCTAAGTAAAGACAGGCGTGTATATGATATAAACCAAGAACCCTTCGGATAGAAACACAAGATGCGTGTCATTCTTGTGGCGTTGTGCGGGGGTTGCCATGAAAAATTCGGCAAAGAAAGCATCTCATAGGGATGGTACCAAAATAAAAGAAGGAACTTCGCGAAAATTCTTCGTGTTTGCTGACTTTACTTTCCGGTGATATTCCGGGTAACTGGACGAGAAGGGATTTGGTGTGTATGTACAGCGAAGGGGTGGGTATTAGCAGTATTATTGTAACAGATGTGAAGTACTGAGATTTGTATGAGTCGCTTGTAAATTGTACTTAGCAGAACCGTGTACACTTTGTGTGCTGACCGCATTATTTCCGTTTCTGTACTGAACACTCGCTTCGTCTGGATTTAAGCTCTGTATTTACGTTGTACGGGAAAGGGTAAATGTACTCCACGAGATGCAATGATCACTAACAATTATGTCATTCTGTTTTTTGTTGTTGTAATTATTGATTAATCTATGATGTATTTAAGTTTTAATTTCAACAAAATATGATTTAACGGTGGTGAAAATTTGGATTTTATTCTTATAAACAGAAAGACAACGATGAATGCAATAAATTGAACATGTAACAGGCTAACCAAGATATCCATGAAACAGAGCCCTTCTTGAGAAGCTGATAGTTTCTCAGCTAGTGAAGTGATGTTTCGTCTTTAATGTAAACCAGAAGTTTATTACCTTCATCACAAGAGGCCACCACCTGAGCCAGATAAATCCACTTCATATTCACCTATTCATTATTCCTGACATCTATTTTAATATTATCCTTTCATCTATGCCATTTGACGATCGAGTTGTATTTTTATTTCAGACATTCCAACCAAACTTCTGTGCGCATTTCTTACATCCCCGTGCGCTGTACATATTTTATCCTCCTTGATTTGACCATCTCAACAATAATCGAAAAGTAAAGAGAGTATAATATATTATTTATTTAACAACGTTTTTAGTAGTTCAGACTTTCGCATCAAATGAAAGAGTGGTAGTGAATAGGAATTTATGTGGAAGGAAGTGGCCGTGGCGTAATCTGATGTAGTATCCCGCAATTTGCCTGGAGGAACTGAAGAAAACCATGAAAACATCGGTGAAGATAGCCGGTCTCCGGGCTAGGATTTGAACCAGGGATATCCTGTATACAACGTAGGAATGCTAACCACTCTCCAGTCCTCTTTAAAAATTTGATCGACTGTGGCGTTACATGTTAATAGAAAATTAGGTTCCACTTCAAAAGAACGAATGTGGGCTTTCGGGAAGTCTTTGCTAATCATCCCAGAATGAACTTACGAGTTTTGAAGTCCAGACAAACGTGTCGGTTGTCCAAATTCTGACTGAAATTGCCGGGTGTTTGCTCTGGAAATACCTGTTCAACCATTTTATGTTCTCCCCGCGTTAGGAATGAGAAGTTGTTCAACTGTTTTAATCGCTTTATCGAAATCTGTAAATCGTAAACCTTATTACCTGCATTTAATTAAAATGTTCAAAGCGGTCTGTAGGAAACAGTTCACAGCCTACACGAAACTCACCTATTAAACAACACCATCCTCTTCATAGTTACAAAACTATTTTTTTTTATCTGATCCTTTCGACTGGCTGTGGCCTTGTAGAGTACAAGGCGAAGGAATTCCAATAAGCCATACTGCAGGCAATGCAAGGAAACAAGCCTGGGTGAAGTGGGAGAGTTAAAGGAACCACTCGCCAGATTTCGCTCAAATCGGTAACCAGTGAACAGATGAGTTCCCCCCACCCCCACCCTCGCTTTGCCACACTATCAAAAGCCAAAGAGCGATGTTGTTAGTACACAGTATCTATGTGCCCCTAGGATGGACCGACAAATAACCCTGGCTTATGACTTCCCCATACCTTTCAGAAAACCAATAGCTTCTCTGCATCTACTTCATATAACATATCTGTGAATCAATAACAACGCACAATATGTTAAAGTTACGACATACAATTTTATACAGTGTTGAAGTTTCGTTAGAAGGACTTTGCTTTGCTTCGGTTGGGTTTACCACACTGCTTATTGGATTGTTGCATTATATATGAAGAGAATCAGACGTATGAAAAATTGAGGGTGAGAACGTAGAATATATCTTTATTAAAACAGATATAAGGAATACGCAAACAATAGTTAACTTAAAAATATCTTAAGTAGTTCTGAAATAATTATAATTTTCTCATTTCGAGTTTTATCTAATAAGTAACTAATTTCACGTAACGGTTTTCCTTAATTTTATAATCATTCAATTGTTTGAAATATTTCCTGTTATAATATTTGGAACGTTTATCGTCATTTTCATAAAATCCTGCCACTAAAGTTCGTCTTAGACGGTTACAGTCTTTTGTTTCCAAAAATCAACTCAATAAATAGGCGAATAAATTATACATTCTTTATGTAGCGTCTTCGTTTCTTTCAAAAAAACGACATTGAAATGTTTCACTTTTGTGTGTGTTCGTGGATGTATCGGAGTAAAGAGATATTCGCTTTATATCCTTATAAACGAGTTATTTTCAGGGGCGAATGGTGTGGATTTGCGTTTGTAATTCTCGTGCCTAGAAGATCTTTATGAATAGAAAGTTAGCGAAACGAAACAGTGGATTACACAGACACTAAATATTTCTTCCTCCCACGAGTCCATCAGTGTATATGAAAAATCTCTACCACAGAGGACTGTCATGTTGTGTCCGTGCTGATAGACGGCACAAAACGGAACACCTGAGCCGAGTTTAAAACCAAGGGATGTTACTTTTCCGGATGAAACTAT